CCTGTGATCACCTACCTGGCAGTCCCCCCTCCCTGTGATCACCTACCTGGCAGTCCCCCCCCTCTCCCTGTGATCACCTACCTGGCAGTCTCTGCGAGCAGTGGGGTTAATGGCGGTCCGTACCGGTTCCGGGTTAGCCGGATGTTGTCTCCGGTCCGGCCGCTGATCGCGCTCTATCCGGGGATTGCTGGCTGTTACTGACCGCGATACCGGCTGCGGGGGAGGACGGGGACCCCAGCTCGTGTTTCCATGGAGACCAGCGAGGAGCGGTAACTGTCTCCATGGAGACGCGGACCGGAAGTGGTGACCGGTGCCGGTTGCTATGGTGACGCGGGAGCGCGTGGCTGACACGCAGAGCAAGATGGCGGAGCCGGGCTGGGCGGAGAGCGTGAGGGCGGCCAGGAAAACCTCCCTGCTACAGGACGGTAACTCGCCAATGTACTAACACCGCCCCGGCGATAATCACAGAGCTCCACCGCGATAATAATACCGCCAGTAACGGAGCTCCACCGCGATAATAATACCGCCAGTAACAGAGCTCCACCGCGATAATAATACCGCCGGTAACAGAGCTCCACCGCGATAATAATACCGCCGGTAACAGAGCTCCACCGCGATAATAATACCGCCGGTAACAGAGCTCCACCGCGATAATAATACCGCCGGTAACAGAGCTCCGCCGCGATAATAATACCGCCAGTAACGGAGCTCCACCGCGATAATAATACCGCCAGTAACAGAGCTCCACCGCGATAATAATACCGCCAGTAACAGAGCTCCACCGCGATAATAATACCGCCGGTAACAGAGCTCCACCGCGATAATAATACCGCCGGTAACAGAGCTCCACCGCGATAATAATACCGCCGGTAACAGAGCTCCACCGCGATAATAATACCGCCGGTAACAGAGCTCCGCCGCGATAATAATACCGCCGGTAACAGAGCTCCGCCGCGATAATAATACCGCCGGTAACAGAGCTCCGCCGCGATAATAATACCGCCGGTAACAGAGCTCCGCCGCGATAATAATACCGCCGGTAACGGAGCTCCGCCGCGATAATAATACCGCCGGTAACGGAGCTCCGCCGCGATAATAATACCGCCGGTAACGGAGCTCCGCCGCGATAATAATACCGCCGGTAACAGAGCTCCGCCGCGATAATAATACCGCCGGTAGCGGGCTCCGCCCGCTGATAATAATACCCGCCCGGCCTTGAGCTCGCGCGATAATAATACCGCCGGTAACGGAGCTCCGCCGCGATAATAATACCGCCGGTAACAGAGCTCCGCCGCGATAATAATACCGCCGGTAACAGAGCTCCGCCGCGATAATACCGCCGGTAACAGAGCTCCGCCGCGATAATAATACCGCCGGTAACAGAGCTCCGCCGCGATAATAATACCGCCGGTAACGGAGCTCCGCCGCGATAACACCGCCAGTAATGTGTCTGAGTGTATAAGTGAGCTCCACAGCAATAATAATTCCAGTAATGTGTCTGAGTGTATAATGCGTCTTATTTAACACCAGACGCGACTAAGGTGTCAGTCCATGCCGTTGTTCTTTCTCGCCTTGACTACTACAATCCCCTTCTCCTTCTACAATCCCCTTCTGCAATCTTTAATGAATGAGTTTCCTGTCCGCCCGCACCTCCCACGCCTCTCCCCTCTGTCAGTCCCTACATTGGCTTCCAATTAGATATTGGGCTCAATTTAAAGGATCACTATAGTGTCAGGAAAACAAAGCGGTTTTCCTGACACTATAGTGCCATGAGGGTACCCCACCCTCATGGTCCCCCTCCCGTGGCGCTGAAGCGGTTAAAACCCTTCAGCAGCTTACCTTATTCCAGACTCCCTCGGCTCTGGCGACCTCTCCTCCCACTCCGTCAGCTCCCCAGTCCGTCACAGGAGCCGAATGCGCATGCACGGTAAGTGCCTCGCGCATTCAAAGTGTCCATAGAAAAGCATTTCTCAATGCTTTCCTATGGATGCTCTGCGCAATGGAGGCACAATAGGCCTCCAGCGTCGCAGATGCGCCTCTAGTGGCTGTCCGGAAGACCCCCACTAGAGGCTGGCTTAACCCCAAATGTAAACATAGCAGTTTCTCTGAAACTACTATGTTTGCATCTGAAGGGTTAAAACCTGAGGGACCTGGCACCCAGACCACTTCATTGAGCTGAAGTGGTCTGGGTGACTATAGTGTCCCTTTAAAATTCTGGTGCTTGCTTACAAGTCCCTACATAATGCTGCTCCAACCTACCTATCCTCCCTAATACACAAGTATGTCCTGTTGAGGTACCTACGCCTATCCTCTGTCCGTACTCCCACATCTGATGCTCGCCTCCAAGACTTCTTCAGGGCTGCACCTTTTCTGTTGAACTCCCTTCTCCATTAGACTTTCACCCAGTCTCCACTCCTTCACAAAATCTTTGAAAACACACTTCTTCAGGAAAACATATCATTTAAACTGTTAGTGGGTTTTCATCTCCCTCTATGACTCCTCTCCTGCAACTGTCAAAAATAAATTTAAAGATTATACTCTGCATTCTGCCCGTGCTTTATTGTCCAGATACCATCTCAGATGTACACGGATTAGCAACTAACATCTTCTCTACAGTTCACTTATAAAAATGACTTCTGATAGTCACTTGCATATAATATATAGTAATATTTATTTATTTATTTTCTTGGGTTTCTAATTGGATGTTATGTTGTTTGTTTATTTGTAGGCAAGAGAAAAGTCCATTACTTGTTTGCTGATGGTGTAGAAATGGCAGAAGAATATGACTCCAAAACACATGAACTGTTTGGTAAGTGGATTTGTATATCTCTGCTTGTCTGTTCAGTCACCCATTGAATCATGAGCTGCTAGTATCATTTCACATGTAGAAGGGAGCAAAGGATGCGATCATTGGAAATGCAACATCTAGGTGTAGGGTAATCCCATTGGGAGAACACTTAGACAGAAAGAATAATAACATGTAGATTGGACAGTGTACGCTAAAGCACAACATTTATTGGCATGAAACAACCTTTGAAATAAAAGCCAGGAGGGAAACACTAAATTGTTTTGATTTCAATTTAATAAGTGAGTTCTAAATATTCAGACATTTTCTAAGAACTTACTGGAACTCTTATGGCTCAGTGAGTCTCCAAAAGATATACCCTGTTATTGTGACCGGTCAGTAACTAATTTCCTCTGGTTTAGAGAATAGCTCTGAATACTATGGAATGATGCAAATGTAGAAACACATATCATGGAGTATAGGAATTACACTTATTTCTCAATATGTTCTTTTCTTTAACATACTTTTTTATTATAACCTTATTTTACTTTTCATAAATCACGGTAATTGAATAAAACTTTCAAAATCACATATTAATTGTATCAGCCTCTTTTCATGCTCCAATCCTGCCACCATATTATGTGGCAGGATCTGTTTTCTATTAATTGTATATTAAAGATTTAACAGCCGACATCTCATTTCTGATTCTCAGAGCTCATTGCAGTGATTGACAGGGAGCAATGATGGAGGCACTCATTTTTTTTTTTTTATTTTTTTTTACATTTAATTCTAGTTTTCAGAACTCACAAATACATATTTGTTAAATATACGTAAAATAGAAACTAAATTTTAAAAAAAAAATCCTAAGAAGTGACAATTTAAATCATTACTGTCAAAACACTGTATGTTGTTATACCTCTTTCTGACTTGGTCTGCAATCGCTTATTTTGTGGTGTTTTGTTTTTTGTCTCCAGTTAGGAAATGGAGAAAGAAGACTCCACTTGGAGCATATGGCCCGTGGGAAATTGAAGTTGGAGAAGCACCTCTGCCAGTTAGTGCACTTCAGCCGGACTTTTTAAAGGAAAGCAATTCAAATGTATGTATTGCTGTAATGTGTTCTAGCCATTATATTGATATAGAAGGCCAGAATGTTAGATCGGTAAAGGTCCACTGTGAGATATGGGGTGTGTTGTGGACAAAATATTAGAATTAGTAAAATGTCTATTTACTCTGTGCATCTGTGTTTGATCCATGACCGGGTGTAATTAGACTTGGGAAACTCTCACTCTATGACTTTAAAAAAGGCATATAAAGCAGCACTTAAATTACATACAGTGCGTCTGTGTTTGTGTGTGTATATATGTATATGTATATATGTATATGTATGTATGTATATATGTATATGTGTGTGTGTGTATATATATATATATATATATATATATATATATATATATATTTTATTAGTGTGTGTGTGTATACCATATATATATATATTACAGCGCTATGGAACTTGCTGGTGCTATATAAAAAAATTTTTTTAGTCTCCAAGTACTAACTGCAAATAGTTGTGCATACTCTGTTTACTAATAGATTTGTATTTCTTTGTTTAAGTGTTTTCGTTCAAGTTATTGCCACATACTAATCCAGTGCCAGCATGAACATTATATCGATCTCTCCTCACCATGTAAAAGCACCTTGTGAATGTTACCTGCTTTCACAGACCATACGGCTGGTGATCACACATAGGCAGATACAATAACAATATCACACTAGTGACCACATACTCTCACTACACAGGGCCGATATGCACAATATTCTGATTTTGTGAAATTTGCAACTGCAGAATGTGCACAAACATTTACTTGACATAAAACTCATGGTGTCACACCGGCAAGGACAAAATCCAACTAAGTATTAAAACATTGTCAAATTTTTCCAAGACCAATCTAGACCATGTGTTGCTTTGTTTGATGCACTGGAAGACAGGGAAAGGAAATAACAAAATGTTCCACATATATTGTTCTTGGAAACAGATGAGTAGTGCCAAACTTTCTATAGCATGTATCCTGTTGTAGTATCTGGGTACATGGAATTATTGGACATTCCCACATACTTGAACAAACATAAAAGTACTTCCATGTTATAACCACATGGGTATAATCTCTTGCATTAGTTGATGTCGAAAGTCAGAATAATGGATCTTATTAGCGGCAGTATAATAACTTGTTTTTGCCGTCCCTTATAATTATAACAAGGACATTCTTTAAGATGAGAGAACTCGTACTATTCTATTTCTGGGCAACCCATTAATAAATAACTAAATGTATTTTTGTTTTAGCCTATTTTTATACGTAAGGATACAAAATCAAGCTTTCAATGGCGAGTTCGGAACCTGCCTTACCCAAAAGAAGTATACAGTGTTACTGTGGACAAGGCAGAACGATGCTGTATTGTGCGAACAACCAACAAAAAGTAAGTAGACGTATTATACTTAAAAGGGCACTCTGGTAAAACATAAGTAAAACGTTGATGCATTCGACTGGCCCTCATTATTATGCTGTATTTTTTTTGCTTGCACAAATCTTTATTTACACAAAATAATACCTTCCTCCCTATCCACAACAGGTTACTTTGTAGTTAACATCATTTGGTTCTGTCAGTGGATAAGCTGCATACATACACTGATAAGGAAGTCTTTTTCAGGAGTAAGGGGGTGTGGCTAAAGAGGCAGGCTAATGGTGCAGCATTCTGCAAAACCATTTCTTCCCCAAAAACTATAAACATTTGAGCATGCAAAAAAAGACTGCATATTAATGAGTCCAAAACCTACCACATGCATTAAAGTTGTATTTGTGCTTGGATTGTAACTTTAAGGGACCCTGTTTCTCTGTTCTCTTTTATTGCTTTCGTAATTATTATAAGACTCACAAATCTTTGTGAAAGGTAAACCAACCCAAGAGCTATTGTTTTCGATAAGTTGCTGCTGCACAGAGGTGTATGGGATCATTTCAGACAGCATAGTTCAGAATGACAAGTTCCTGATTGCTAAATGCTATTCCTGGTCTGCAAAGTGCTCTCTCTGTCAGCTTTTAACTTGTTGATTAATAGCAGTTTGGACATTTTAATTTGATTTATTTTACATATGTATTATCGACCTAATGCAATAAAGAGCCACTCTAAGCACCATAACCAGCTCAGTGTAGTAGTCACGTTGGCAGTAGTCTCTGGGTACCTTCCCCTGGTTCTTCGTAAGATTAAGCAAACATTGGCAAACCCTCTTAAGGATGAAATATATTTCTAAAAGCAAGAAATCCTGGTCAGTAACATTTAACAGGAACACAAACACTCAGAGACCTAGATATTAAAGGTAGATAAAGCCATTGGATTCATATCGGAGAACACATACTTTATTCTTCAGCAATCTGCCCGCCACAAACCTTTTTTGATGACTTCCACTGTATTGACCTGTACCACCTCTGCTGATAAGCTATTCCATGCAAAGTATATAATTCCACAATGGTTTGCCAATGGTTGGCAAAGAGAATCAATAAACGTTTAATAATACATTTTTAAATTACTACACAGACGGGATTATTTTTTTCTGAATCCTGACCTGATACTTTTATTTGTGGTAATATTGGGCTTTGAGCAACTGTCATACTGTCAAAAAACTGTTAGCAGGTTTTTATCCCCCACCCACTAGACTCCTCTCCTGCAACTGTCAAAAATTACTTACTACGTTCTCAGTGAATACTTTTCTAACAACCTACTTTGTACCCTACTTTTACCCTCTGTGTCACTATACCCCACGCCCTCTAGAATGTAAGCTCATTGAGCAGGGCCCTCCACCTTTCTGTTCCTGTACATCCAGTTTTCTGGTTACAATTACATGTCTGTTAGTCCACCCATTGTACAGCGCTACGGAATCTGATGGCGCTTTATAAATAATGAAATAATACATGTAAAGATGATTTACTGAGGCATTGAGAATGTTTACTTTTTCCAACAGAGGGCGCTCTTGGAGAAGATCTAAATACTAATGTGTTTTTTCCTTTCGCTTCTAAAAAATGCATACTGCATTACATAGTACTGCATGTTTACAGGCACTTGGTTCACATGTCTCCAACAATATGTTTTTTGCACATGTCATCTAGATAATTTGTGGGTGACAGATTCTATAATGCCGTAAACTCAATCTGCCTTAAACAGACTGTTTGCTTGTGAATGTCCTGTTTAGTGAATACATCCCATTGAGTTACTGCCATTTTCCTATCAGTTCAGGCACAAATTGTGCAAATTGGAACAAGGATACACTTTAATTTTATTTTAAGCCTTGCTTTATTAGCTTCTGTTTAAAGTGTTGTTTGTCCTTACTTTAAGATGCTCTTAAAAGACAATATTGTTTTTCTCAGTTTTTGTTTAATATTTTATACACATTGCAAACCTTACTCTATCTCTTCTAGGATCACTTTGCAATCCCCATAATATAGATATATCTCCACCATCACAAATAGTTTCCATCAAGCCCCCATATCTTTATTCGCAGAGATTCAGACATGATAAAGCCATGCCTTTGTTTGTCTGACGTATTGCTTTGCTCCTCTCTGGGTGTTAAAAGCACATTCCAAGCTCTAAATTTACAAACCAGGAATAGGAATACTGTAACTTCATGTCTCCACCTACCCCTTATATTGTGTCATGGTACTTTTATTTAAATTTATAGGAAGGAATCATATATTGCTTGAGAAGTATTGCTAGATGTAAAGATATTTAAAAGCCATATTATAATATTATTATTATTATTATTATCATGATCATCATCCTTTATATAGCGCCAGCATATTCCACAGTGCTTTACAATTATAAAATGGTCGATATTTGACAACAAGTAATTAACATATAGAATAGAACAGAGACAAGAGGTGAGGAAGGGCCAGCTAAAACAAGCTTACAAAACAACACAATCCTCATCCAAATACCCTGCAGTTTATCCTCCTCTACCAACATTCAGTGTGTACTCTGGAACACCCTTCCATCTGTAGCAATATTACATTTCATCTCTAATTCACTAAGGATACTGGCGCTCACTGAGACTTGGCTGTCCCCCTCTGATACTGCTACTCCAGCTTCATGTTTCGGTGGACTACAATTCTCCCAGACTCAACTGTAAAGGCGGCAGTGTAGGCATCACCACCTAAAACGTTGCAACTCCTTTCACTGAGAAGATTTCTACAATCAGGGAAGAGATCTGTAATCTCTCTCCCTCCCCTTCCAATACATCACCCAACTCCACTGTTCTATGCTCAATCGCAACTACTACAATGGAAGAGGTTTCTTCTCTGCTCTGGTCCTCCCACCCCACCACCTGTTCCCTCAATGCTATGCCCTCATATCTCATCCGCACTCTGTCTCCCTCTCTTGCTCTTTTTCTCACTAAAGTTTTCAATCTTTCCCTTTCCTCTGGTACATTTCCTTCACCCTTCAAGCATGCAACCATAACGCCAATTCTGAAAAAAGCCCAACCTCGACCCCAGCGCCCCACCCAACTACCGCCCTTTATCACTACTGCAGTTTGCCTCCAAGATCCTTGAGAGAGTAGTGTATGCGAGATTTCCTCAAATCCAACTCTCTGCTTGACCCCCTACAGTCTGGATTCCGCGCTCGTCACTCTGTTGAATCAGCTGTGACCAAAGTCTCCAACGATGTAATTGCTGCTAAATCTCGCTGCCATTACTCTATCCTAATTCTCCTTGATCTTTCTGCTGCGTTTGACACGAGATACTGCTCTCTCCTGGTGCTCCTCGTACCTCTCCCAGCGCTTTTTCAGTGTTTTTCTCTGGCTCCGCCTCTTCTCCCCAACCTTTTCTGTTGGTTCTCCCCCCAGGTTCAGTCCTTGGTCCTACTACTGTTCTGCTGTTCTCCATCTATACTGCCTCCCTTGGTAAACTCATCAGCTCATTTGGCTTCCATTATCATTTATATGCAGATGACACATATACCTGTCCTCTCCTGATCTCTCTCCGCCCATCTTGACTCATGTCTCTGACTGCCTCTCCATGATTTCCAATTGGATGGCTGCCCACTTCCTTAAACTCAACCTGTCCAAAAAAAAAAAACTTCTGGTCTTTCCTCCCTCAAGTGCTGTTACTCCCATGTCTGTCTCCCTCCAAGTCAAGGGCGCCACCATCAACTCTACCTTGCAGGCTTGCTGCCTAGGTGTTCTCTTTGACTCCGATCTCTACTTCACCCCACATGTCCAATCAACCGCCAAATCCTGCCGCTTCCATTTCAAAAACATAGCTGGCATCCGCCCCTATTTCACACCAGGCGCAACTAAGGTGCTGGTCCATGTCATTGTTCTTTCTCACCTTGACTACTGCAATCCCTTTCTCAGTGGTATGATGTGTTCCCAGATTGCACCGCTGCAATCTATTATGAACGAGGCGGCAAGGCTCATGTTCCTGTCCGCATCTCCCCCGAAAAGGAGGACAGGCTACATTGATTGTTCATTTAGTTTGATTGTAAACATTTGACTAAATAGGGAAATTTACAATATTCACTTTTTAACACCTCAGATTGAAGACTATTACATATGTCGACATTGTAATTAAAACAAATAAGCTGCAGTAAAATTAACTGGGTAAAGACACCCAGGACCAGTCCCCTCTCAGTCCCTACATTGGCTTCCAGTTAGATATAGGGCTCAATTTAAGATTCTGGTGCTTGCTTACAAGTCCCCACATAATGCTGCTCCAACCTACCTATCCTCTTTAATACACAAGTATGTCCCTGCGCTCTGCCGAAGACCTATGCCTATCCTCTGTACGTACTCCCACATCTGATGCTCGCCTCCAAGACTTCTCCAGGGCTGAACCTTTTCTGTGGAACTCCCTTCCCTTGGCTGTTAGACTTTCACCCAGTCTCCACTCCTTCACAAAATCTTTGAAAACTCACTACTTCAGGAAAGCATATCATTTAAACTGTTAGCGGATTTTTATCCCCCGCCTTATGGCTGTATAAAACCAGAAATTGCATGTTTTGAAGTATTTTTAAATCTTTCAAAGGGTCTGGCAGTTATTGTAGAGCTCTAGGCTGAACACTGCTCATGTACATTGCTTCCCCCAAATAAATCCCATTTGTGATCCCCATTGGTGTGTTTCAGGGAAGCAATTCAATGCCAGATTATGTGCAATGGTTCTTTGATTGATTTCACTGAGAGATCAGGGATTGATTGGATTTCACCAGCCTGGTGGCTGAATATGTCATTGGAGGCAAAATGTAGGCCAAGAAAAACAAGAGGGGCACCCTCTATACTAAATATTTTATTTATTTAATCTCAAGCATCCATTTTAATGTATTCCATACACCGTGCGTTAGTTCATGGGTGGCAGAATCCTTCTTCGAGTTTTCCTGGAAATGGTTAATACGGATACAGGCAAGGATAAGATAGAATGATGGTATATTAGCCAGGAAACAAGTCTCAGCATTTCTTGTATCTGTTCGTAATATAAACAATGTGTGAAATCTATTATTTAATAAGAGCACTTAGTCGGGAAGATTACTGGTTCAGTCCCTCCCTGTCCTGACTTAAGTTCTCTTTTTTGGATGGCCTTTTTATCTATCATTGAGGAGTTAACACCTCCTTAACATGTCTTTGTGTTCATCTAATCTGCTATTTAACCTTTGACATCTCCCTTATTATCCATGTCTGCCACCTTTACCAAATACAGAGAGCAGCTACATCACAGGAGGCTTTAATCTCTGTCAGAAGGATATTCTGCCTATATACATACTTTGCACTCACCTTGTTTCATCTGTTCCCATCACTGTTCTTCACATACTGTGTTCCATTGCTTCCACTCCTATACAGTGCGCTTGTTTTAATAGGACCCCTTTCACCTCTTTGGTTCTGTTAACATTATTTTGTTTGGCAATATTTCTATTTTATCTTTTTTTTTTATATTGTAAAGTGCAGCAGAATATGTTGGCACTATATAAACGGCAGTAATTGTTAAACACAAGCAGTCGTGTTTTCCATTATACGTATTTTTGACCAAAGTGGGGGGACAAAGGAATGGAAACGTAGAATGCAACATGGGGTTTGTGTTTGTCAGTCTGTGTTTATTAAAAACAAACAAACAAAACAAAACGAACTTGCCTGTGATCAGATTTTTTTGTGTTAAATTTCAGCTCATTTCAATGTTACAGCTCTGTATACATCACTAAAGTAGTTTTATTAACTAAATTGTTTTCTGCATTATTTCAATTTAGAGTAATTTGAGCCCAAAATTATTATATAGAGGGTCATATCCTAAATCACGAAATCGATGATGTTTATATACTTTTTCATAAGCATATTTTATCTTTTCTTTATTGGTTACACAAAATTGACAAATTCGTATTATCTTTCCAGACACCCTGCAATTCTTGTGAATCTCCATAATTTCGCAGTGGAACATGTAGTGACTTCAATGAGTAAAGCATATATCATGTAAGCTCATTGAGCAGGGCCCTCCACCTCTCTGTTCCTGTACGTCCAGTTGTCTGGTTACAATTACATGTCTGTTAGTCCACCCATTGTACAGCACTACGGAATCTGAAGGTGCTAACTAAAATAAAATATCATACAGACATGGTGCCTTTTGGGAGATTTACTCCTCACCAGCCAAACAAATCTTGTACTGCAAATACTTAACTTTTATCACTAACGTCCATAAAAAGAAATTCAAAACTCCAACAAACTAAAGTTTTTGTCGATACGGGTTTTCTTGAGCTATGTTCATTATCGTTTCAGACAGTGTAAGATTCCTTTGTATGTATCCTTTAGTTGATAATTTCAGGAGAAGGGTTTTCCGCTAACTGTGCCCATATGTACCAGGTGAAGCTGGCAGTGGTGATTGGTGGCGTGTAATGAGCGAGATAATCAGCTCCTGAAAAATGAATAAAGGGTGAAATCACCAGCCATTTCAGTTCTAGTACCAAATGTCACTCACAGCTGGAAACAAGCCCGCTACTCAGCTTACCTTGTTATAGAAGATCTGTCTCTTCCTGAGATGTGATGTAGACAGGACTGCAAAACACACTGAGCACCCTTTGCTAATTTAAAAAAATATATATATAAATGAAAAATAACTATTCATAAACCGGTATCTCCTTAGCACCCATAGCCTGCCTCCTATTCAGCCGCTCTGATATTCTATAAAACCATGCCTGTGCAATAACACATGGGAATCCATCCAGCCTGAATGAGCATGCCTGGCTGAGGGTGATAGGGGGCCTATGTGACCATGGTGTCTTCAAACTAAATTGATTGGGATCAATATTTAGCCAGATTTCTAGTGAAGGCCATAGTGAACACTGTGCCATTCATTTATTAAGCACAGAGTTGTAGTGAGTTGACACATTTTAGGCTATATAGATTTGAATTTATTTTTTTTGTCCCCAAGTTTTATTTCTCGGCTCCCCAGTTTGCTGTAGTGTTTATTCTCAGTGTGCGTTTTAGCTGTCTACAGGAATGGCTCTGATTCACTTACAGACTATTTTCCAGATAAGATCTTTCCTGTGTATGGACGACACGCCAGGCAATAAATGGAGAGTTTTACTGAAAGACATATTAGAGTAAATCGGGTGCACTATTCTACTTTTTCAAGATTTGCTGTATGCCTATTGCAAGGTCACTTTAATCTATTTAATCTATTGATGATCTGTTGAAAAGAAGGACAGGCTACATTGATTGTTCATTTATTTTGATTGTAAACATTTGACTAAATAGGGAAATTTACAATATTCACTTTTTACCACCTCAGATTGAAGACTATTCCATGTGTCGACATTGTAATTAAAACAAATAAGCTGCAATAAAATTAGATGGGTAAAGACACCCTGGACCAGTCCACTTCTTATTCTCATGGCAGGTTTCATCCCCTATCTTTGGAATTTTAAAAATAGACTGAAACACCCAGTCTCATTAATAGGTCTGTGATGCACTGCAGTCAGTTAAGGTAATAACATTCATCTTTTTGTGTAGATTTTTTTTTTTCACTCTATATCGATTTTTATTTTATTAAAGATGTTCAGAATGGTAACAATATAAAGCTGCTTAAATATGTAGTTAAAATTGACTTTTTTGAGCTACAGAGTCCCCACCTAGTTGAGAATACAAATGATGCTGCCTTATTGAAGATAGTAGACTGGCACTCCAAATGATGGTCCCAATATATTTATTTAATTTTCCAATTGCAACTCTCTGAGCAGCCTGATATTCCATATTGATATTGAATTGGTTGTTCCCCAGCAGAGTCTTGTGCTAAAATAAGGCAAGTGACATTTCCTGTTTACAGGATGCTATGTAGTGATGGAATGATCCTGTTAACATGTATTCTATACCCATTAAAACTTTACATCTTCAACATTTAAAGGTCCCTATACCCTGCTCTGTTTTTCCTTCTAATTTGTCCCATCTTTGCCCTTTAGTCTCACTGTAAGTCCTTTGATTTAGTTCAGATGTATCTAAAGAATGTTTTGTCTCCCCTTTTTACAGACTAAGCTGTTTATTTGTTCTACTTAGACTCTTGCTCATTTAAATATGTGTTTTGTCTCTTTCTGTGTTGTCTATCTTCAGCGGACGGATCCTGTCTATACTTCTTAGAAGCTTGCTCCTTCGAATCATTACTGCGGTTTTTTTTTTTGTTTAAGCTAAAATACTTGATAGAATTATTAGTTACATTTAAAAAAAAATTATTTAGTATCCTGATTGCATGCGCACTGCATTACTCCCATAACACAATCACAGATTTCGCCTTTAAAAGTTGATGATATAAAATGTAACAGTCGCATCTGGCAGTGGTACATGGATGGCCCTAAGACTGGGTGATCTAGCACTGGGCAACTACCAGTTAATAATGGTTATATTACACAATTTCTAATCGTCATCAATAATTACTCCTATCAAGAAGCATTTATTTTCAGACTTTAACGCATATAAGCAGGTCTTGCTCTATAACTCCATAGATCTACAGACCTTTTAAGTAAATCCATTCTTACCTACCATGTTTTGGTCATAGTGTCTTCATTTAACAGTGTAGGGGTTTTTTTTCCACTTGGAAAACATTTTTTTTTCTAATCTGTACTCTCTAAAAAAGGATTGGTATCAACAGGTTTCCCTTACTATTGCCACCTTTATTAAAACGGAGTGCTTATTTGATGTATTGCAGCTTATTTACTCCGATAAGAGCATGGTTTATCTGTAATCTTGAATTCCAGATTAAACAGCAACATTTCTATTTTTGTTTGTTAGAGGATTGCAAATGCTGATGACATATTATCTCTTATTTTGAATCCAGAGATTTTGGAGTAGTTGAATAGATCCCGTACAAAGTTTGAGAAAGTCAGTGATTTGGTTTCCATTAAAAATAGATCAACATTAAAATATTTGATTTAAAAAATACATCTTCATCTACATTACTTGTAGAATGCGGCTGGGGAATATTTTCCCAGAATGCATGTGACCTTTTTGTATATATTTAACATTTTGCAGCATGATTTAAAAATATTACACATAGCATCAATCTATTATTTTGTTTCGAATTTTTTTTTTTTTTTCCATTTGCTTTACCTTGTGATCTCTTGTGGGTTCGTTTTATATTATCCTAAATCCGTTTTTTTTTTTGTTTCTCACCATTGCATCCACAGCTTCAAATTGCTCTGTTAACATTTGACCCCTTCCCTCATCCAGTAAACTGTATCCAATACAATACATTTATTGCACACCATGGCATTATGCTCTTTCAATCCGTAACTGGTACTTTAACTTTAAAACAGGGCAGCAAATCCCAGTCCTGTGTGAAATGAAACCATTTCAGGTAGTGTATTACACACTAAAATGATTTTTTACTGAATTTACATTGAACTTTGCAGGTCATTTCGTATGCGGGAGGAGAGAGTCTGGTAGGAAAGACCGTAGCCACTAGGGTAGTTTCTGCTCTAGTGAAACAAGTGTTTGAATTCAAACTTTGGCAATTGGATAATTTGACTGAAATTGTAACCACAACCCCTGCAATGTAAATTGTGCACTACAACCTGTTAAATAACAATAACACCCGGTCTGTGGGCTGTATGGATTCAGCTTCAGACAAAATAAAAATTCACCCCGCTCTAATTAATGACACTATTCTTATAGAAATCATACAATAACCTGCTTTCAGACAATCAGTTCTATACCTCTGTATTATATATATTGTGTGTAAGGTTTGTTAAATTGGCAAAACTTGATACGGGTCAATTTGCCCTTAATACGACATGCAGAGAGCCTGTGCGGTTTCTTGGCTGTTTGTAATATTTAATATTCTAAACAATCGGTTTATTTTTAGAGTAGTATGATCATAGTCTTACGTTGTTGCTTCTGCTGTTATAATGGTTGGTGTCCAGGTGAAATATTAACCATAAAAACCAGCTCTGCGTATCTGAATAACATTGAATACCAGTCATGTTATGCACATTAAGTTGTCCCGTCTCTGTATTTTTGATGTGAGTGTTAGTTGAAACTATCTGATATATATGCAATACTTATGCGCGGTGGAAAAATTAGATATACCGGTAGATAAAATTGGGTGGTTTTAGTAATTGGGGAAGTTCAGCTAGGACAACTAAAAATTAGTGGGAAAAACTATTTAAACGAACCAAAAATGGGCCAGTGTACTGCAAAATTATGTATATATTTTACAGTACTAGTTCACAGATTAAGTGAGAAAAGGTAACCAATAGATGGGGAAAAAAAGGAGCAGTTATAACATCTATACTTGTATTGTATATTTATTAAATATCATTTTGTTTTCTGCTCCCCCCAATTAGTCACTTCCCACTTGATCTGTGAATTAAAATCAACATTTAGGGGCTGTGCCCTAACCATCAATCTATAGTTTTCATACAAATCCCAATTGATTTGAAACCAAATGAATGCACAAGTCTAATATTTAAATTGTTCATAGATTGTATTACAAACGCAATTATATTTAAAGAAAAACAGATTTACTGACTATATCATCTTGTCTTTCTATCTGCACAGATATTATAAGAAGTTTTCTATCCCCGATTTGGACAGATGCAATCTTGAGCTGTTTGAAAGTGCATTAAGCTTTGCACATGCTAATAACACTTTAATCATAAATGTAAGTACTCTGACTTTAAATCGATATTACAGACGTGAAGGTGGGAAGTGTCACTCACTATCCGTGTAAATTGAAGCTAATCTGTCACGTGTCACATGAGTTTTGTTAATGTAAAGCAGTTATTACCAACATTAAATTTAAACAAAAGTCAGCACTATAGTATCAGATGTAAAGGACCAGTAGTGGAACAACCAGCAATAGAAAAATCCTGTACATCCTGTATTGCAACAAATGCCCTGTAGACAGTTCACAATAGATAGTTCACTTCAATACCTTAAAAAGCCCATATAATGGGTGAAACGCGTAGGTACAGGCTGTTTGTACTTGTGCTGTGGATTTACCGGCATTTTACTGTAAGGAGTGTTTCTTCTCCCAGTTTGAGACAAGCACTGGATAGTAACACTGCCCATACTATTTGTGCAATTGAGCCTGTGAAAAGCTCACAATATTACAGTGTACACAGCTACTGTATGGAGCTTTTTCTGATTTCTTTTGAGGTACACTGCAAGAATTTGAGAATCATTTTGTTGAAGATTGTGGCGAAACCGGCCTCGCCACGTGTCCTTGGAGGGGGCTGCTTGCCCGCCTCTTGCCTTTGGACTATGGACCAGACCTTATGTGAATGTGTTATACCCCAGATAGGAATCCCATGGAGCCCATTCGTATGAAACTGACTGTAAAGACTTTGGTTCCATGGCGATTAAACTGTATTTGTGTGGTCCGAGCGCCATTCACTTAATAATGTGCGCTCAGACCTGAGCTATCTGGGGATATGTGAAATGTCTGTGTGCTATGTGTAAAATGTGACTTTATGTATTTTAAAGTGTTTTGTGTCTTTTGCAACCATGTGCTTAATGGAGTCTTGTGTCTGTCCTGGGAGATAATTGAATTACTTATCTCCAGGATAGAAGACTCTGAAACTGGTTTGGGCCAAAAAGCCATGCTTCATTTAGTCACAAAGGACTTTTTACTAACTTTTGAACCCCTTGTCTGATTTGTGCCATTTTGAATATGTTGTTCCCCTGAATGGATTGATTGTGAATATGTAATTTTATGTGAATGTGATGTATGGTTTTGGAGTTATGAAAGTTGGGTAGAAAGTATGTTTTAACTGTATGTATAATTGAGTTTCCTCTCAGGATAAGGGGAGGGAATATGTGGGATGTAACTGTGATGTGATTGGTTGTTTTGTAACGCCCTGTGGGCTGTACTATGTTTGTGGATTGGGAATAAAAGAGACTGTATGTGACAGTACAGGAGTTCCTGTTTTAACCCTCAAAGTGAAGTGTCGTCTCATTATTGGGGGAAGGATTTATTGTATGCTGTTCCAGTTTGACTGCTAGGAGAGTAAACCTATTCGTATGGTTCCTATTCAACTGTCTACAGCATTCATATGCTTGGGAGAATTTATTTGTTTCTCCGGTTCGGTGATTGTGGTGTCTGCCAGAGTGCTTGGAGTCCTCAGGAAGCGCTAGGAGCATCCTTCAACGGAGGTACCCAGTCGGGGGTGCCAGGTGATCCGTTACATTAGATTTTTTATGATCTCTCAGTATCATCTGTGGATGGGCTGCAGGGCATTTTTTTGCAATACAGGGCAGTTTGTTTCTACATTATTTCATCTTATATATGGTTACAATAGCTCTATTGTACTACTGGTCCTTAATATTTAATGCGATAGACTGAGCTGACTCTTGTATTAATTTATATTTTTACAGTTTGAGGATTAACCCTTTCAGGTTAGCAGCTTGGTATAATAGTGTAGTTGCTTGTTTTGTTTGTTTCCATTTTCAAAGTTGCAGAGGCAATGTTTATTTAGAACCGTGATTGGAGTTTTATCCGTTAAATTGTGCTTTCATTTTGTTTTAGATTTATCTTAACCAATGCATTGATGACTTTCTTTTCTGACAAACCGATCCTTACAGTTTGTTTTGTTTGTTTTCAGTATCAAAAGCCTAAAGAAATCCTGGCTATTGAAGAAGAACTCCAGCGAGAGCTAAAGTCGATGAAAACGAATGCTGATGGAGATGTTGAATGCAAAACTCAGTGACTCCAAAATAAACTGGAAATTTTTATTCATGCCACTCATTGTTTATAATTTAATAAATTCGTATGCTTACTATGACAGTGTGTGCATTTTGAATTCACGAAAATCAGTAGAAATACATGCAAATTGTTAGAGGAAAAAAAGGAAAAACACAATCAATTTTTGAAATGAAGGGCCTAATTTACTTTATATTAAAGTACCACTATAGTGCCCTGAGGGTGCCCCCTCCCGCCGGACTCTGGGGAGAGGAAGGGGTTAAAACCTTACCTTTCTCCAGCGCCGGACGGGGAGCTCTCCTCCTTCATAGCGACGTCATCGGCTGAATGCACGTCCGGAGCCGCTTGCGCATTCAGCCAGTTCATAGGAAAGCATTTACAATGCTTTCCTATGGACGCTGGTGTCTTCTCACTGATTTTCACAGTGAGAAGCACGCAAGCGCCTCTAGCGGCTGTCAATGAGACAGCCACTAGAGGATTTGGAGGCTGGATTAACCCTATTATAAACATAGCCGTTTCTCTGAAACGGCTATGTTTATAAAAAAAATAAAAAAATGGGTTAACCCTAGCTGGACCAGGCACCCAGACCACTTCATTAAGCTGAAGTGGTCTGGGTGCCTATAGTGGTCCTTTAAAGTTAGGGGGTTTGGATAAGAGAATGTGGTCAGTTGTCACACTGCCTACTCGGCAAATATTACAGTATTAGAGAGCCGGTATTAATTTATAGAAACATGCCGTCTGATACTTTTTACAGCTTTTTAGTACAGTAAAGATTTAAACCATGATACTAAAGCAGTCTGGATACGGTGGCCCTGTAGATTTATCTTTGCTAGCAGCATGACAGTGTGTTCATTGCACGGTTAATGAAAGTGCTTCCACAGCAACAACCATGTTTCACTTGGGATGTCGAATGTCATCCAATACTGAACATATGAAAGCACTGGATTCAATGCTTCTCTGTAAGAATCATTGTATAGGATGAGCATGGCGCTCACTGCATATATGATTCTTTGAGAATCATTTGATTGGATAGGAAGTTTAAGAGGAGTCTGCAAAGATGATGTATCAGGAAGAGGATCTGCCTGTTACAAAGACTGTAACATGGTGCTGAAAAAAAAGGTCTATGACCAGAAAACAATTGGTTGACATTATTATTTATATAGTGATGTACGATGGGTACATTGTGTGCAATCTCTAAAGTGTTCTCAAAACACATACATAATCTATTTTCTAACATGCTTGTACTCCTTTTCTTTTTCCACGTGGTTTGATAAAGAGTACTGCAGACAATGGAATTTATGGATCCCAATATCCTCTGTAAAACTTGGTTTGGAAGATGCCTTGACCCTCTGGCCACTTCTCCCATGCTTGCCACGCACTGGCCCTCTTATGATCCATTTCCTGGTGAACCCAAAACTTGCCATATGTGTCCGTGTAGTCCGCCCATTTTATGTGTAGAATATTTATTTTTTTTAGAAACAAATGCAGGTTCTCTACGATGGTATCAACTTTCAATTTTGTGGACATATTTGTTTAGGAGTCTAACATAACATGAACATGATGGATTTCTTAAAGTGATAGTCTAGCTAGTTTAACTCATTGAAACTATTTTCTGCTTGCAAAATTGGCACTAGCTGTGTAATCTGCCTGCTCTTTCCGCTAGTGGCAATTAATTTTATTGAACAGTCCACTCTTTGTATTTTACATGGCTTGATCTTACCCCAAGGAATGTATTTATTTAAAAATAAAAAAAATCTGTATTATGATGTATTATGAGCTCTCAAAATGGCAAAAAACCTATAAACATACTGTCTGTATGTTGCTACAATGTTACATACAATAAATGAAACCAACCATGTCTGATGTAGATTTCTGCCTGCCATATACACACAAGATTGGTAATGAAGATGTTATAAAGTCAGTGGTTACATGTGCAATGCCAATTTTATTTTTACATAGTGCTTTTTTCTTATAAGGATGCAGTGTTTCAGTATAGACTAAATTTGCAGCTGATTAACATACTGACCTTGAAAAATAGTGAAGGAGGGTTCGGATTTATAAGAACCAAACATACGTCCCTGAGGTCTGAAATGTTAAGTACAGACGGTTCATTAACCAGCTGAGCTATCTCTCTACCCTCTTTTCTCTAAAACCAATTTAGCTAAATAGGTGCTGCTGCAAGAGGTATAACGTGTTTCATCTTCAGTTCAGAACCACTTTAATCGTATAACAAAGGGAGTAAACAATGCACAAAGTGTCTGAGCAAACATTGTGTATGGGTTTAAATTCAGTTAAACCACAGGCTCAGAGGAGTTTGACGTATATATGCAATTTACCATAACTTTTCAGAGGCATTCTTCAAAGCACACTTTTACTGTTTAGCAATACATTCTTTTCCCTTTGCCTATACTATATCCACTCCTTTGATCTCTTTTCATGCACATCCCACCATATTCTTTTGTTTGGTAGGTGTCCATAAAACTTCTAGTGAGCAGTAGACCATTAAGCAATGCATCTACGTTCACTGGGAACAGGATTCTTGCAGAGAGAGAACTCTTGATGGCAGTTCTAACTGACAAATGATAGGAGAGGTGACAAATTCTGGTTTTAGTGTAAATCACGGTTTTGTTTAACACAATAGAAAAACACGAATGCTTTAACGCATTGGACTAACTTCTCAAAAAGAAGGACTAACTTCTCAAAAAGAGGATGTTGCACTATTTTTTGTTTTACCATATGTTTATATTGCCCCAAAGCTGAGAGACCAATGACCTAAACAATACCAGTTCATTTCAAGGGTCACATTACACTCATCTGAGATAAAGAAAGGCATAACACATTTTAAAGCAAGGCAAACGTCTTCATTCAAAGGTGATCTGATTATCTCATGTTTCAGGTGACTGCTTGTTCCTTTACATTTGACCTCTCTGACAAAAGTGTCTAACTTCACAAGATCGATATCGAGATCCACCACATTTAAGCCATGTCCGTGGTAATCCTGTTTTTACAAAACTCATCTCTATATCTAAACTCCTAGGTTTCCGATCTTAAGACGATTATACTCCAAAAACTAAAAATTATAAGAGTAGGGCCTAGAACGGCAAAATAAGAATAAACTAAACTTACTTGAGTAATTATCGGTAAGAAAATACATTGTTAATCTTTCTAATACTATATTCTGTTTGATACATACATTTTGCTACTATACAAGCAGCTAACATCCTATTTTTTTATGTCAAATATTTGTCTAGCACAGAATGAAGTGTTATAGAGATTACTTTGTTAAATTTGCAAAACAGACACAATGTTTTCAGAGCAAACAAAAATTTAGTCTGCAAGATGGGCGTATGATGTAAAAAGAGGGCACTTCTTGCATAAAGTGATAGATATTGAGCAATCATTTTAGTATGAAAGTGTAAGGATAAACAGAGCGGAAAAAAAAAACCATACAAAATATTTATAATGTTCCATGAACGTAATTTTAATCAGAAAATCACAGCAGGAAGATCATCACTTGAACCCAACAGAATGCAAGTCTCAAACTAGAGGTTCAAAACATCAGAAAAACAACCACAAAATACAGATATAAAAATAGTTTCTGAGAGACACCCTGCTCTGTAATTATATGTGTCAACGACGTTGACGATGTAACATTAGCTTATCCAGATCTTTGATGCGTACGCGTAGGAAAAAATAACCCATTAATGTATTCCATTCCTTAATATCAACAAACTGATTTGATGGCCAATTGACAAAATGAAACTGTGCGTATAAACTAAACAGAGACACCAATGGAAAATCAGCAATTGATGGGAGGTGCAACTACATTGTAATTAAAGGGACACTAAGCACTAGTGGCGGAAATAATGTAGGTAGGGCCCTTGTGCAAGATTTTGTTTTGGGCCCATCATTGCAGAGCTGTGTTTGTGTTTGAATGTAAGCATGTTTTGTGTGTAGTTTTGGTATTTGAATGCAGTTGCATGTTTGTATGTACTGTTGCTCTTTGAAAGCAGTGGTGTACTTGTGTTTAGCGTTTGTGTTTGTATGTAGAGAAGGTGCCTGATTGCTGAGATGTATGCACATATATTGCCCCGCGCATGCACACTGAAACACACATAGGTACACACACGTGTACACACTGAAACATACATATAGATACATATACACAAAGATAACACATTCACACACAGATAATACACAATTTACTTATTTTTAGCCACCTTTTTGGTGCAGGAGGGTAGCTTCCCTGGACTCCAGTAGTATTTGGCAGAGTCTAATGGGAGTCTGGTCCAGGCTGTCCCTCTGTTCTATTGTCCTTCCCTCTTGTGGCTCATTGGTAAGCTAGGAGGAAGTGACTTGTACCGGCCCCCTTATCTTGCGGATATTGGGGCTGAGCTTGCAGATGGGCTACACCAGTGGTAGTTCTGCCACCGATAGGCACCCATAACACTTCATCTCATTGAAGTGGTTTGGGCGCACTGTCCCTGTCCCCTTAACACTGCAATCTAAAACATTGCAGTTTTAGAGAAACTGGGTTAAGACTGCTTCTAGTGGCTGTCTACCAGACAGCAACTAGAGGCACTTCTTGCAGTTTCATTGAATTTAACCCTGTGATGTGACTCTGAATGTCCTCATACTGCACATGACATCCAGTGTCTTGCAAATCCCTATAGGAAAGCATTGATTCAGTGCTTTCCTATGGGGTATTCCTAGTGTGTGTGTGGCGCTTACATGCGGTTGCCCATCGTGGAGGCGGAGACGGAGTCAGTGTTGAGGGACCTCAGCACTGTAAACAGTCACAACCCAGCTGCCGAGACTGAGGAACGTTTGGGCAACTGGAGAGAAAAAAAAAGGGAGCCACAGGCCACATAAATCACACGGTGAATGAAACTGACTCCATATGTATGTACCAATGAGAGTTTGCATGTTATTGATATTATTGAGTGTGCTTATGCATCAGTGAGTGTTTGTATGTGTAATACTGTGTGTGTGTGTGTGTGAGTATATGTGTCAATGTCGGTAGCAAAATTAGTTTGTATGTTGGTGTGTTACTGGGTTTGTATCTATTTGTGAGTTTACAGAAACAGGACTAATTTATCTTCTACCATTATGCAAAATAAATACTTGCAACAAAATAAGCAATGCATGCGGTTAGAATTTCACATAATAAACGCAGTAATATTACACAGGTAATGCCGATAGCCACGTAAATCCAGGTGGTAAAAGATGGGGTCTGGAATTACTGAGGATTATGGGTAAATCAGTACTTGCAGGAGGAATAGAAAAACTGTTTGTAAAGCTGCCTGGTATCGTGAATGAGTGGATGGTTATAGTTAATCTAACGCGGTTCAATACAAATCTGTTAAAAACAAAAACAAACATGCAATAGGTGCTTTTTCATTCAAAATAAAAATTGAAAGGAAAATTAAAATTTAGTTAAAACAAAATGTATTTTTTTTTTTAATCATTAACATAAAGTTAAACTAAAAATACAAAGAAATAAGCTGTTAAAAGTGGTCAGAATTCCAATAAAATTAGCATCTTAATGACTCTAGATTCCATGTTTAACCTTATATAGCAAACTTTCTGTAGAAGAGATTTTGAAATAAAGTGTAAAAAAATAAATCACTAGCTTTAGTTTGTGAAAAATACCTCTGAACTCTGAATATATTCTCTTCTGCATAAACATGTAACGCGTTTTCCATTTTCATAACATAAAAAAAAAAATCCTCAGACGGAAGTTTACAGAAATATTCTAATATGAAATGATGTTTATTATTCAATATTGTACACCATACATTGGATGTTTCAGTAGTATTTTAAGGCTTTAAACATTGGGCACAGGGTATTGGCCAAAAGCTTCTGCTGACAGGCAAATCTGTCTCTGACAGGTGCAGGTAACTCGCTCCTTACCACCTGCTCATCAACTTTGATTTTCATGGTCCTTAGCTTGAAGTATGGTCATGGGAACCATGTTCGCCAGCCAGCAGTGAAATTTTGTTATTTAAATAATCGAGAATGAAAGGTAATGTTCAAATGTAAATACAATGTAAGGTAACGTTCATAGGTACTGTCATTCATTTAGCATAATTAATTCCTTTGTACAAAAGTTACAAAAAAGCAGGTGCGTTGTCAGAAAATGGCAAAATGTGAAAACATAGTTAAAACTTACTATGTCCCTTGCGTCAAGCCTGCCCACTTTATCTGCGTTGATAAAAGGCTGGGAGACATAAGGATCAATGATACTGGGCAGGATATTTTATACTGAAAATACTGCCCCATTTGAAGAGCAATAGAATTAATATGAACAGTCGCCAGCCCCTTGCAATGATCGCAATCCAATCACAAAATACTGTATACTCACAGGGCCATTTATTAAGGTAGGAATTTAAAGTGAATTGCAAATGTAATGCCCTAATAGTAGAACTGGCAACATTCTCTAAGCCATGTTACTTTTTCCTTAACTTTGAAACTCACTTTTAATTCTCACGTTAGTAAATAGCCTTGCCAGTAGCATTATGGGATTGTGATGTGAGCCTCATACAATGTGCAAAGGGGTTCAGATATCTAACTGATATTTGATGATGGCATATAGGTATAGGCTACAATTCTCAATATGAAATAACATTTTATCTATACGTGTGCTTATAATTTGGCTAGCAGACTGCAGAGATGAAAGGTTATGTTTATAGAGAGGCCATCACTTGCATGACAATTGCTCTTTTAAGAAGATAACTATTGAACATTGCAGTAACGGCCCTGATTATTTGCCTTTATCTCTCTGCAGAGTACCGTGGTGACCCTACTGGCATTGTAGTAAGAGGTCTATTCTAGAAGGTGGTGAAACGAGAGTCAGGGTTACTGAAGTCCAGAACGTGCAGTGATGAAGCTAGGGCGGCGTACAGGTGAGTGGTGCTGAATCGGAGACAATACACAGGGCTACTTGTAGGCGACGACAAAGAAAATGACTGAAAGAGAAAAAACACAAAATTTCCACAAAACCATCAAATATAATAGCATTTTACATAGAATGAAATGTAAGAGGTTAATATGTAAAACTTCATTTATTGATATTTTAAACAAACGAGTAATGGCACTTCTGAACAAAGAGAAGTTAAAGATGCTGCCCCTATAAAACAAATATTTGTACAGGGGAATAAATAATACTAATTTGTGTTTGTATTCATTATAAAATAGTACGCATGGTGGCTATAGTACATGTAATAATAACATATGCCATTTTTTCTTTTAATAATCTAACAGTTGGAAGCCTTAAAACCACAATGTATTTATTGACAGAATGTGGTAATACATAAATAGATTTGTTTTTGATGATTATTTGCCATACTACAAGCTCTTTACACCAGAAGCTGCTATCAAAACATCACCATTCACTCAGCTTCACGGGGGACTAGGCTGAGGTATGTGTCCTGAGCTCTGCCATTTTAGTAAAAGGGCTTAATATAATTCTGGCTTTAGGTACAGTCATTCAGAAAGTAATCAAACCCTTTTATTTTTTATGTTGCAGCCGTATGCTACAATTGTTATTACTTCTGTTTTCACATCAGCCTCCTCTCAAAAACCAAACCAC